GCCGCCGAGAAGAGGCAGGTCTGTCCATCCCGGTCCGGCGGCGGTGGTGGGTCGGCCTGTGAGCCTCCAGAGCGCAGGAGGAGTCGTACAACCTTGGCGGCGTTGCGCTTGACAGCAGCGAAGAGAGGCGTCAGCTGGTGCCGAACACGAGCTGCAGTATCGGCTCCATGGGCGAGCAGGAGTGCCACGAGTTCGGGGTCGCCCCGTTCGCACGCCAAGTGGAGAGGCGTCTTCAGCGTGCCCCCCCCCGCCTCAGACATCAAATCGGGATTCGATGCAAGCAGAGCCTCCATTTGCGCCACGTCGCCATTGGACGAATGTCGTGGATGTTGGGTTGTCCCTGCGACGGATTGCCCAGCATGCTGGGCCTGCTCCTTACTCTTCGGCTGCTGTACAGCGAATGGCCGTAACACCTGCCCCCCTTGACGCCAAGATCGTCGAGAGGAATGCGCGTTGATGTTTTTTCACACACGTTGGCAGAGAAAACAGAAAAGGGAAAACAGAAAGAAAAGATCCCTTTTTTTATTGGCGGCCAAAAAACCGGTGACTTCTCCTCCTTCTTTTTAGCGCTACCCCCGAGTTGATGATGCTGCACGAGCGCCTTGAAGGCTCTGGGCCTCTTCTTCTTCTTCATTGACAGGTGTAACAGGCCCACCCCTCAGCGACCGCCCAGCGGGAAGGTTGGCTGCACGTGCTCCTCTTCAGTGAAATGGTGACAGTGTGTGCTGATGGTGCCCTTCTTCTTGCCCCAACAATCTTCAACATTGTATCTCCATATCCACACTCACATTGGCACCCTAAGGGCCTGCAGCACATGGTCGTGCCCACACACAGAGCACCACCTGCCATGCGCAAAATATCATTGGCACCAACAACTACCTCACACTGGGGTGGAACAGATAAGAGGGTGATTCACCTGGCAGCATCCATGGGCTGCACCAAAGTGATCAACCTGCTCATGCTCACAGGCGCCAATGTCAATGTGTCCAACCACCATGGAAACACACCCATGGGTACCACCACAGCCAAGGGCTACCTTGACCCATCAAGGTTCATCACATGCTTTTCTCATGCCAATAGGGTGCACTCACACACAAAGCCCACTCACCACACTCACACGCAAAGGTCCTGCTGTGGCCTGGCGCAGGAGGCAGCAATTTCATGCTTCTGACCAAGTCCCAGAAGAGAGGTGGGAAGAAGGGCGCATGGCCACTCTTGTTCCTAGCCACTGCTGGTGGGAGCCCCAATGAGCACATGCTAGAAAAAAATCCTCCTTGCTTTTGCTTCTTACCAGCCAAGAGCTGAACCAGAGCATTCCTTCACTTTAAAGGCCACCTGCAGTTGCATCACTCATGTCAGCACTGGTTTTGCATTTGAATTCACATTTGCTCTCACATTTGCATTCATGTGCAACATGCAAGAGGTGCATGCTGTTTTTTGTTCTTTTTCCTTTGTTTGAGAAACCAGTTCAAATGCCAGTCCAGCAAAGCTTATTGGTCCTGCTAAGCACAGATTTACTTTGGGGGGCAGGGGTATGCCAGTGGTAATCACTTCTCTGCTGAAGGAGGTGTGTATGATGCTGACATGCTCTATGTCTGCACCTACACTCCATCTGTCCTCCTTTACTGGCTTGGGCAGCTTTGTTTTATACATCAGCATGCAGCTTCCAGTCCATGGCCCAGGCCAAGGCCAAGGTCAACTTCTCATGGTAGTCACACTCCAAGGAGGTGGTCAGCCACCACACCATAGCAACCACAAGCACTGTGGCAGCCCAAGCCTCAGCTTGGCAGTAGAGTCTGCACAGAGCAAAGAATGTGTGTGTGTCACAACAGTAATCCATGAGCTCCTGTGTAAGTGGCTGGACATCCCACACCTTGTAGTTGCCTCCACAACTGGGCAAGAAGAGTTGCTTGGCCATGGCCTTGATCCATTTCATCTCCATGCACTCATGCACTGAGAGGCTGGAGGTGCTTAGCCTCCAGAGCCTCTCCCAGGCCAGCCATGGTGGATGGGTATTCCCAACATGACCACCACCACACAAGGTTGTTCAGTTGCAGGTCAACAACACCCACAAGCACAACACTGTAGGGATACAATAGTGCATTGTTGTCACTGTGGCAGTCCCACATCAACTTCTCCACAGCAGTGTCCTTGATCAGGCTCTTGAGTGTCATGCCACTGCTGCTGGCACTCAGCATGGAGAAGGCTGCATCACTAAGCACAGTGACATCCACAAGATAAATGGTGTATGGGTTGGCCTTGCAGGTTAGCCACAGAACACAGAGCTTGCTGTGCATCCTGCCCAAGCAGACACCCTCCAGCTCCACAGTGAGTGCTGTGTGGCCATGTGCCTCAATCCTTGCCAGTGCTGTGGCCAGTGCTTCCCCCATGCTAACAAAGTGCACAGTTTTCTCCCCAATGGGCATGCTGGCAGGTAGATCTGCAGGACAGCTGCCTCTGCCACTTGTGTCACTGGAGCTGGTCACAGGGGCAGGCAGTTCATCCACTCTGATGTGTGCAGGCCCATGCTGGTTGAGTTGTTCTCATGACTGCTCTACTTCATCATATTCATTGATGACTGCACCAGATACACTCAGGTGCACCTCATGTGCCACAAGAGTGAGGTGTTCATTGCTGCATACAAGACCCACAGTTGCATACACATCCTCAAGTTGGACCACAGCAGCAAGTACATTGGCAATGCAGCACAAGAGTGGATGGCCTGCCACAGCATCCAGCACATCACTGCACCAACCTACTCCCCCAAGCACAACAGCATCACTGAATAGTACAACATGGTATGCTCCATGTTGTCAGACACCAGCCTCACAAACTGGTTCTGGGCCAAGGCCCTCAACACTGTGGTCTACATCAACAACCACATGCTGTCCAGGTCCATTGACAACAAGGACCCCTTCCAACTTCTCCATGGACACACACCTGACATCTCCAAGCTACAGCCATTCAGCTGCAGCATCTACCTCCTCACACCTGTGCAGATGTGCAACAAGCTCCAGGACTGCTCATGTGAGGCTGTCTACCTCAGCCTGTCAGTCCACAGCACCCACCATTGACTATGGGTGTGTTCCAGTGGTGCAATCACTGAATTGTGTGATGTCATCTTCCACACTGCCCCTGCAGTACTGTGCAAACTGCTCTCCACCATTTAACTTCACCATGCTGGGAGAGGGATACCCAAGCTGCCTGCCTGAACAACATTCTGGGGGAGCGATGTCCATTGTGTGGATGAAGATCTACATCAAGCAGCCTGAAGGCTTTGTCCAAGTCAGTGCTCAGCATCTAGGTCATCTACAACCATCAACAAGGCACTGCTGTGTTATGCCAGACCAGTCATGTTGATGCCATTCTGTCACACTACAGCCTCAGCAACTGCAAGCCACAACACACCCCAATGACAGCTGGTCTGTCCCTCACCAAGCTCAAGTTCACCAGCCACAAGCACACTGCCCTCCCATACTGTCAGGTGGTGGGCTGCCTCATGTACCTGTCACAGGCCATGTGGCCTGACATTGCATTTGCTGTGGCCTACCTCAACAAGTTTGTGAACAGCTATGATGAGACCCATTGGACCGCCATCAAGCATGTCATTTGGTATCTCAAGGCCACCAGGTTGCTTTCAATCATCTACAGCTGCACTGCCATTCACAACCCCCATCTACTCAGCCCCACTGGAACCTTTTGCAACTCCAACTGGGGTGGCAACCTGGTTGACTATTGCTTGGTGACTGGGTTCATGTTCTTTCTATGCAGTGGTCCCTTCATGTGGTCTTCCAGAGCACAGTCAACCATCACACTGTCATCATGCAAGGCTGAATACAACACACTGTCCAAGACTGTCAAGCATACACTTTACATGCATAAGCTGCTGACCCCTCTCAGCCTCAACAGCACACTACCAACAATCATCAAGAGCAACAATCAGAGTGCCACCCACTCACTCAGGACAACCAACAGGCCTTCCACCCTCAGACCAAGCACATTGACATTAAGGTGGCCCACATAGAAAGGCTGTCATCAGCCAAGACAATCATGCTGGTCCACTGCCTGACCAGGCAGATGATCACAGACATGCTGACAAAGGCTCTCCCCAGGCCCAAGCTCAAAGAGCTCAAGGGACTCACCAATCTACAAGGTTGACCCTCTGTCACAAGCCTACACCACTTGTGGGGCCATATTGACAACAAGTCAATATGCCACCATGGTGACTGTTGTCACTATGGTGTCAAGTTGCTGTGACTGCTGTCACAGCAACATATCCATATAACACAGCTCATGGTTATGGCCACTGTCTCCATGACAAGTGGTATAGCCTCAATCACACTCACACACACACATATAAATATCTGTAACACTCAAAGCGTTTATTGTCTCCTTTCTCTCTCTCATAATACATCACCATCACTTCTATTCTACTGTCCAACAACCACGCAGTCACTCACTATATGTCAAGGTACAGCCAAGCTGCAGTGGATTGGCCAATGGTGTTGAGTATAGAGCAGCCATTCCTCCGCAGTCAATGGGCTCTGTGGGGAGCGCACAACCTCTCCCACTCAATTACGGGAAAATTGACGAAGTCCTCCTTGATGTAGCATGCTGCGTCGTTGAGGGCTTTGGGGCTGGTCGCCGCCAGCAGCACCTCCCCCTTTGACGGCAGGTCTTGCACCAAACTTAGACCAGGGAATGACTGCGTAAGCAGCAGCTGGACGCCGGCGGCAGGACGGAACAGACCGACTTTCTCCTTGCCGACCACTACCCTCTTCCTGTACTCAACAGGACGTGGTGCCTGGCCTGTGCTCATGGTGGGGTGGTTGTCGCTGTGTGCGTGGCTACGGCCGATGAGAGGCACGCAGTGCGCAGGAGCTCCAACAGTCGCGCCACAAACCAACGGCGGTATTTCAGGATTGGCGTTGCCCTGCGCTAAATTAAAAGGCCGGCAATTTAAAAGCA